GTAGATTGTAAGTCAAACAAACAGAATAAATCATAAAACAAAAATTAAAATCAAATATTATTCATAAAATTAAATATTAATTCAAAATTAAATTAAATATTTCAATACAATATTCCAAAATTAAAATTAGTGAGCCCAACTAAGAGGCCAGAATGTTATGTATCATATGTATGAATCTTTGATCAATTCAGAGTACTCACATAGTATTCTATTAGGTTAATATATACAAAAATATCAACTAAGAAAAGGTTTTCATAATAGTAAAGAATTACTAAGAATAAAACATAACAAAAATACTGGAATGGCAAATATATGATCAGCACTTCTAACAGTTTGGGGATAGGATATCACACAAAGTTCTAGTATGTGGTGGACATGGACAGTGTCCATGGCGCTTACTGGTGGCCAGATGTCACTTGTGGGACTGAGTCACTACTATTTCCTTGCTATTCACCCTGTAGACCCGGACAGAATCATAACTCATAGGGTGCAGGAGAAGTCCATCTGTAGACTATGCCAAAGGAAATATTTTGCTGCAGTATAAAAAAGAATAATTAAAAGACTGCTGTTGTATACCTCTTTTTCTCCTGTGTTTAATTCTTTGCCCTATTTGGTGGGGTCTTTCCATTCTCATTCATGGAATTGTGGTCATTTTGATCCCTCTCTAGAATATCTTTTAGTAGTCTGTGTAGGGTTGGCTTTGTTGTCATGAAATTCTTTAGTTGTTCTTTGTCATGGAAGTATTTCACTTCTCCATTAAACTTGAAAGAGAGTTTTGCAGGGTGTATCAGTCTGGGTTGGAATTTGTTTTCTTGCAAGACTTGAAGTACTCTGCTCCATGCTTTTCTTGACTTCACGTTTTGTGAAGAGAAATCTGCTGTTATTTTGATGGGTTTTCCTTTAAATGTGATCTATTTCTTTTCTCTAGCAGCTTATAGTGTATTGTTCCTGTGCTGAATTCCTAGGATCTTGATTATTATATGTCTGGGTGTGTTTTTAATTGAGTTGATGTTATTTGGAGTTCTATATGCTTCGGTTACAGGAATGTCAGATTGTTTCCCCATATTTGGGGCGTTTTCTGCTATTACTTCTGCCCATATTCTCTTTTTTTTTTTTTTTTTTTTTTTTTTTGCGGAACCGGGGATTGAACTCAGGCCTTTGCACTTGCCAGGCAAGCACTTATTCCACTGAGCCATCTCCCCAGCCCTGCCCATATTCTTTTTATATCATTTGTATTGACTTCTTCTTTCTCATTGATGCCTATTAGTCTTACATTATTCATCTTTGCATCATCTTTCCAATGTTGAACTATTTTTTCCTGCATCCTAGTTGTTTTTAAGAGATCTTTTCTTACCTTTTCACTAGCCGCATTGATGTATTCAAGGTCTGAAAGTCTACTTTCACTTTCATTCAAACAACTTTGCCTGCTTGTGATTGAGGTTTTAATTTCCTGTATAGCACTTTGAATCTGCTTCATGCATTCTATTTCTTCCCTATACTGCTCATTGAAGGATTCCATCATTTTTATATTATTTCTGATCTGATTTCCTCTATACCTTTCTGCAGTTGTTTGTTTACTTCAGACACTATTATTTCAGAAATTTCAAGTACGCGCTTTCCAATTTCTTCTATGCTGTTGTCTCTTGCATTTGTTCTAGGTGGGCTTGGGGCCTGAGAATGCATTTTTCTCCTACTTTTTGTCATTTTCTATAGCACTGTCTTCTGACCTATGGTGCAGAACTTTGGTGGAGTTATTACCTTAGCACCAGGTCTGGATCTAATTCAAACTCATCCACGTGGGTGTAGCTGGGTCTGGCTCTTATGCACTTCTTCCTGCTGCAGCCCTTGGAAGTGAACCTTCTGTGCCACTCTGGCAAGATGTTCTGCTCCTGGATCAGCTGGGTGGGTCTTGCCTCTAACCTCTCTGCAGGGAGTTCTGCCTCAGGGTTCCACACCAAGCCTGAATGATGGAGGAAGTTCTACACACATACCTGGCCTGCGCACTGGCTGGAGTGGGGGCCTGGCAGGCCCCAGGCAGTCCCAGACACATGCCAGTACTGGCTGGAGTGAGGGTCCAGTGGGCTCCAGGCAATCCCACTCACATGCTAGGCCTGGGTGCTGGCTGGAAAGAGGAGCTTGTGGGCCCCGTGCAATCTCACTCCTGTTTTTGTCTTTGTTCTTGTTGTATGCTCTTCTCTTTAAAATAAAAATTTTTTAAAACACAAGGTTGAACAAGGTGACAAGATTTCCCATAAATGACTAGAAGCCAGCCTTTCTACCACCTAGAATCACCCCCAAGGAACATCACCTACCCTGTTTATCAGTTTAGGTTCCAAATTATTTTGACTTTCCTAGGGAATTTCATCCATTTTAAAGAAATAAATATCTCTACCCATGGAGACCCTCAGAAGTGTGTGCAGTGGGCTGAGTGTATGCCCTCGTGTCAACATGGAACAGGGGGCTGGTTTTGTTCCCCAGGCAACCTAGTCTACTTGGAAGGGGCTGTCTGATGTAAACTCACTTTACAGATTAGAAAATTCTGGCAAAGGTTTCCTCGAGCCAGTAGGCAACACTGAAGCTTTGGTCATCTGTTCATAAAGTCTATGTCTTGAACAAGAAATTGTCAGTCCATCGCTAGAAGCCAGGCACACACTGGGCCCACTGGAATGAGCTGAAGCCACCACAAGTGGACCAGCAGAACCTGCAAGGAGGGACTGGCAGGCCCAGCCCGCGCCAGCCTGCAGCAGTAAGCAGCCTGAGCAGTGGTGGGAGGCCAGGCATGGTGAAAGGTTACCATCCTGGCAGGCCCAGAGCTGGCTGGCACCAGGAGGGTCTGCAGGGGACAGCAGGGTCCATCGTGGACCTGAGCATCCCAGGCAGGACTCGCTTCCTGGAAAGGCCAGAAAGAGCAGTCCTGGAAACTGATGCTTCTACATGCTACAAGGCAAGGCCTGGGTTACCTGGATCCTAGATAACACCCCTATCACCGGTCTCAACACAAAGAAGAGGCCTGGCTGTGAGGACAAACACCAGGTCTGTGTGGAACCAGCAGCCCTGCAGCTCCTGGTGTCCAGAGCTCTGAGCACCCAAGTGGGTCCCACCTGCGCTGTCACAGTGGCCTCCTTACACTACAAGGAAGGTTGTGGAGGCCAGAGCCAGGTGGAAAGTGGGTGTCTGGGTTCTTGGCTGAGCACAGAAGCTTCCCCAATGAGGGCCGCAGCATTTTCACATGGCTTCAGACAGACCTGCCGGCCAAAAACAGAGGCAAGACAGCCTTCTAGCCAGCTGCAGCGGTGCCCAGAACTGCAGCCAAGGACACTAACTTCACACTCTGTCCACTGAGGCGAGTGCACAGGGCCTCCACTGCCTGTGACTGCACTTTCTCCAAAGTAACTCCAAAAGCTCTCTCTGATGGTCCCCACGAATCTGTTCCTGACCCCCTTCCTGTTGTCTATTCCTCCAACCCTAATCTCAACATCTAGGCCAGAATAGCCAAATGTCGTTCACACCATTCAATCCACATTCAGATAGTAGCCCCTTTACTCTTGCCAGCTTTTTACACATCTTGAAAGGGACACAGAGAACAGGAACCATCCCAACCAAAAGAATGAATACTTACTGGTAAAATTTCAGCCATGTGGAGGTGGCAGGGGAGACATCTGAAGCAGAGCAAAGCTGCCCTGCCCTGTACCCATTATACCCCACAGGGACACCCTGATTCCCCTCCCTGCATTATGCTGCCCAAGGGCTTGCTTCCCCTTAGGAACAGTCATGGCACCCCTTCCTACACCCAAGGTGGATGGGCAAGGCACAAGGGCCACTTCACAGGGAGGGACGTGGACCCCGCCCTGCAGACTGCAGCTGTCTTCTGGCCCCTGCTCCTCCCCCCAGGGCTATGAGACAACTCCCCACACAACCTCTCCACAGATTACTGTCTGAGCCAACCAGTCTCAGCCATTTGCAAAGAACATGGGCTCCCAGATGACATCAGACCACACCTGTCCACAGGAAGGCCAGCAATGACATGAAAGACAGCTGGCTGGCTCACTGCCCCACCTCTGGGCAGAGGTGGGACACAACACAGCAGTGTCCCCGCTGGGCACAGATGCTTCCAACACTTGTGCAACCAGAAATGAGAGCCATCGAGGTGGACCCAGGATCAGGACAGTGAGTGTCGTCCCATCACTTGACAGTAACAGAAAGGGATCACACGCAGCCCTGAGGGCACAGCTCAGTCCGCCCCCTCCATCATGCTGCCTGCACACACTTGTGTGCATCAGTGCACACCTGTATACATGCGTGCACACACACACACACACACACACACACATACACACTTTCCACCAGCAGGCATCCTCCTGGTGCTCTCTAGGGAGAGCTCCCCTGGGAGATCAGAGCCAAGCCAGTGTCCAAGCAGGTAACAAATGGAGAAGGAAGGGAGCGAGGGGTGGAATGGAAGCCTGACCACGAAACAGTCATCTTCCAACTCTGGGTCCAGGAGGCCAAGTGCCTGTCTTCTCCATGACATACCTCAAACAGACCAGGAGTCCTAGCAGGGACGTCACTGTAGAGAAAACAGACAGGGCCACTTCTCAGGCTGCCTAGCAACCAAATCATGCTGGAGGCATGGTGCCAGGCTCTCTTCCTCCCCACCCGTCTCTTGCTTTCCCTTCCAGCCCAGGAACAACAGGCTCTGACCCACATGAGGAAGATGAAGCAGTTGAACAGGGAAAGGGGCCTCAAACTTCAGTACAGCAGGGAGCTCAAGCCTGCTGGGGAAAGCCATCTGCACTGGGAGCTCCACCCCTCCGCCCTCACTAGGACTTGTGGAAAAGGGACAAGCATGCACACACAAGCATACGCACATGCGTGAACACACACACACACACACACACACACACACACACACACTTCCCCAGGCCCTGAAGGGGCCCCCAAGTGGCACGGGGCCTGCTGGCAGAAGGCGCACGGCAGTGAGGCAGAAGGCAGCTTGCTTCCTAGTACATTTATTGGAGCCTCGGTTAAGTGAATGCGGATCAGGATCCCCCGCCACAGCCCCCTCAGCCCGCCTGGAGCGGGGCCCCAGGAGTCCATTTCCTTTTTTTTTTTTTTTTTCCATTATAGACAACATTATTAAAAAAAATAAACTTTACAATAATACATTTTCGCTCATCTGTGGGGTATTATTTCGATAGTTTCGTTTCTTAGAAAAAGGAAAGAAAAGGAGACCACAGGGTCTATGTATACGGGCGTGTATATACACCTATGCGGAGGAAGGAGCCTCGTTATGTACAGACAGCGGACACGTGTCTTGGAATGAGAAAGTCGAAGCAAGGAGGGGACAGGACTGAGCTCGAGAGACCAGGCGGCACTGTGACTCGTCCCACTGCGGTCTCTTCTGCGCCCCTCTGTGGCCCTTCTCCTAAAGGGAGCCCCACAAAATGGACCCAAAGAAACCAAGAAAGCCAGTAGCATCATATCTGACTTTAACATTCCTACCATGAAGAAGGAAAATGCAGCCCAGAGCTTGCCCCTAGGTCCCCCCACACTCTACAGTCAGGGGACTGAGCACAGCCAAGGGGTTCCCACTCCACACGCAGCCCCACCCAGCCACTGGAGGGCAGGAGGGAAGCAAATCATCTCCATCTCTGAAGCCAAGAGGACGGGCAAGCAGGCCCAGCCGGCCCACATGGCTGGCCTTGCTTCTCCGCTGACTGATGCCCACGTCCAGACCCTGGCAGGTCCTCAAAGTGAGCAGCTGGAGAGGGCAGCTGCAGGTGTCCTGACCCAGCCTGCACTGGTCACAGCACGATCCCTTCCATACCAGGGGTCTCGCCTTGGTCTCTTGCTTCAGAAGGGTTCAGAGATAAAAACGCTGGAGACAGCAAAGGGCATTGGTAGAGCCTGTGCCCTCCTCGGCACTAGACGTCCCCTCCCAGGAGACCCCTGGGCTGGCTCTCAGGCTGCCCGCCTGCTTGTCTGTTTGTTTAGAAAAGCTTCTCTAGAACAGAAACCTGGGAGAAAACAGGTTCAGAGACAAGGTGGGAAAAAAAATTTTTTTGCAAGGTGTGTGTGTGTGTGTGTGTGTGTGTGTGTGTGTGTTTCCATTTTCTCAGGCGGGAGTTCTGAAACTTGTAGAAATCTCTCGGTGCAGTCTCCAGCACCTACAAGGCCAGTCTCAGCATCAGGACAGGGAGCACAGTGAAGGCAGCCGTTGGTCGAGCTCTGTTGAGGCCTGAGTTCGGTTTGATCACCTTTTTGCTCCCTGGGATGATGTTTGTCGTGAGCTGAGTCCACAGCAGAAGCAGAAACAGAGAGAGAATGATGACACCACCATCAACAACAAGATCCATCCGCAAGGCTGGAACCACAACCCATGCCGCCTCCAGCCCCACCTCCAGGGCCACCCAGGGGACCCTCTCTGTCACTCAGAGGTGGAGCTGGGCTTCCACGGGGTTGCACAGGGCAGAAGGACAGGCTCTGAGCTCTCGGGCGCAGGATGTGGGCAGCACATTGCACTGATGCGGGAGACGTGAGAGGCCCAAGAGGAGAAGGTCTGGGGACTCGGAGGACCTGACTCTAGAGGGAATGTGGGAGGAGAAGGAGTCCACATTCTCCCCATTCCTAAGGCACAGGATGCCTCTTGCCCCAGAAGCCTGCCTGAGCTTCTCTCGCAGAACCTGACCTGGCCTCTTCTCCCCCAAGTTACCATCCTGGATCTGTTTGTCACACTGACTCCTTCAAGGGAAAGGCTGGGTCTTTATTCAGCTCTGTACCTTGTAAATATCATGGACCCAGCCCTGAGCAGATTTTAAAGAGTTAAGAAAGTGTGAAAGGGCCTCTGCTCAAAGCAGCCACTCCCTGGGGAAGTAGCTGCAGACTCTAGCTGCAGCCTTCATGCCTACTCAGGTCCAGGTGGGCCCAGCAGCCACGGGATTCGGGAGCTTTGCAGCAGCCAGCTCTGGGCCAGTCTCCTGCACCCCTCCCCTACTCTGCCCCCACTCACCTCTGTGAAGCACATGCTTAACTCTTTGGAGTTGTTGGTCTTCAGGCCCTGCTCCTGTGGGAGAGAAGACACGAGTGAGTCTAGTTCAATAGGCTTTTCGGGGCCAGGCCTTGTCCAGTGACTCAGACAAGGATCAGCCATTCCCTGTCAGCATTATGAAGCTAGAGCGCACAATGAAAAGCACTGGGTATATCCACCCAGCACAAAAGGCCCCTTCTGAGATCCTCAGCCATTAGCCTCTGAATTCTCCAAATTCCTGAGAACACAGTCCCAGGCCTTCCTCTCCTGTTCACAACATGGTGTAGCAATCAGCCACTTCTATGTATGTCTCTACACTCAGAGCTCTTCGAAGGCAGGAACCAAGTTTCTTTTCCTTGCATGGAGTGGTATTCAGCTTATAACAGAAATTCAATCAATGTTTTACTAGATGCATGCATGAATGAACACATGAATTGATGCTAGAGATCAGAAATGGCATCTGGGTGCCAGCTCCTGTTTGCCTCTGTTGCTAGAGTTTTATGGAAAAAGATCATAAGGCCTCACCTGAACTGAAGGAGAAAAAAGAGATGTGATCGATTAGCAATGTCTGCACTGGTGCATGTTAGGCAGATCCTGGGCCTTTTTGCCAGGCCATTCCCACCCCAAACAGATGTGCCGCACCTGGGACATCTTTGGAGAGATGAGGAATGGGAAAGAAAGCCTGGTGTGATGTCGGTTCCAGAATTCTCTACCCTGGCACAAATACAGGGAGGCTGTGCCTAAAAAACAGTCCTTTGTTAGCATTATCATAATAAAGATCCATGGGAACCAGCTGGGGATGCAGGGCCTCTACCCTGGCCTCCAATCACTTAGTTCCCATGGTACTTTCTGGGAAGTTCTGGCCACTAAAAGCAACTGGGAAGCCCAAAAACTTATGCCTAAATCATTGCTCTTGGACAGATGTATCAATAATGCCTTGGACATTAGAGGCATTCGACCACCCAGGACATCTGGTCAGCTAAACAAGGTCCCAGCTGTCACACAGAGACCCTGGCCAAGAGTAGAGTCATTGCCAATGGTGGAGAGAGGACCATAGTGATGGTTAGAGCAGCAGGAATGGAACCAGATCCTGCCTAGGAGGATCCTGCTCAAGACCACAACACTCATGTCTCCAAGTGCCAAGTTATAGCCCAGCCAACCCACCAATCATGTCCCTTGCACAAGAACTGGATCCTGGGACCATGGTGCCCCTCTAAGCAGAGGCATGACAGGCCACTGCAGGAACCAGAACATGACACCCACCTCAGAGGCCATGATCACTCTGTCCCACCTGCCCTCTCCCACCCCTTCACCAATTTGCATACAGTCACATCAGTCCCTACCTATGCCATGCCATCACCCAGCACCTACATGTATCTGCCATCACTTCCTGGTGTAGCTGTCTAATTGTGGCAGTGCTGTCCTGATCCTTTTCGGGTCTCTATCTTCCATTCCCCACAGTGCTAGCTAAAGATGGAACCCGTGGAAAATCACAGACGCAGACAGTCCCCCAGGTCTCAAGATCCTAGCCCACATCAACCAAAGCTGTTCCATTATTGTTTGTTCCATACAGTGAACTTAAGTATCATTTTTTTTAAAGTGTACTACTCAACAAAACAGTAAGACTAGCTATGCTCCAAAACAGGGCCAGCACAACATTCCACAATGGTGGATGCCAGCTCTCAGGCAGGTCCTAGGCTAGACACTGCCAGTTTAGCACAGTGCTACCCCAAGTTCGACCCACACAGAGTAGCCCACAAAGCCCCTGAGCCCCAAGCACAGCATGTCCTTCAGCAGCTCCACCAGGTGTGCAGAGATAGGATCTGAAGGCCGATGCCCCTGGAACACCTGGCCTAGGCCTGCATTCTGCTCCTGAGCGAGCAGGACCTGACAGGTTCCTCCCAACAGGGAGAGGGGCAGGGGTGCTGGCAGAGCTTACACAGGGAAGTCGAGAGGGGAGAACGAGACCCTTGAACCTCGGGACGTTTGAGTCAGGGCTGACCAGCCACAAAACTGGGTGCAGGGTACGCTGGGCCTCCAGTGCTGCTCTGAACCCTTCCTTCCAGTGCTGTCAGACTAGTGCATGGGTGTTTGTCAGCACAGACCCACTGCAGCCTTTCACTGTCTATACTACAGTACCCTAAAACTTGGGTGTCCAAAAAGCACAGGCCCCTCACCCACAGTCACTGGAAAATAGAATCATCAGCAAAAGGCTTGAGAGGCCAGAGTTCTGGACCCACACCGGACTCCTATAATGATGTGGGGCAAGTGTACTGAGCCTCAGTTTCCCTATCGAGTAAGGACAGACCTAACCAGCTACCCTGATGACAGCAGAGCTCCCCACAAAGCTAAGCGCTCACCACTCATTGCATGAGGCACAAAGCAGAGCCACGCCCCTTTTTCCACCCCAAGGCAGAGCCCAGGAGCAAAGCAGTGCAGAGGCCAGGAAGGAGCCAGGAGGTGATCCCCAGGTGGCCAGCCTCCTGCTCTCTGCCCAGCCTCTACAGCAGATTACAGCTTGGGATACAAAGGGGCCAAGAAGTCTCCACCCCACAAGATTTCCAGAAAACATGGAGCCGACAGTGCCAGCCTCAGTAACTTCACCTGACAGCCAACCTGGCCTTCGCCATGGGGGTGGCTGGCCAAAGGCTGACATTTCTGAAAGTGGCACATGCGTGGGGAGGTGCAGAGAAAGAAATTCCACCACCTGATTCAAGCAACCGGGGCTCAGACTCAATGCCTCCCTCCCTCACCAACTGGGGAGCCACCTCCCCTAAATAAGCCTCAGCCTTGCCCCTGAGAGCCTTGTAACTTCCAGAGAAATGGGGCTCACACCTTACCAGAGAAATAAGCCTCCATACAAGCACCTGTGGGCCTAAGATCCCAGCGAGGACAAAGGCCTTGAGTAGCCGCTGTCCTCTGGAGCCGTGACTCCTCAAGGCTGGCTCCACCTGGCTCTCTCTGCCTCTGTTACCCTTGGGGTACCCCAGGCCCTGCCCAGCCCCTGCTCTAAGGCTCTCAGCCCCTTGAGGTAAGTAGGATCAGGGCCTTTTGGGTGACAGCACCCCCAAAGGGACAGTCCTAGGCTTCTAGGATGGCAGGACACAGGGTTTCCCGCAGCGATCCCTGTAACACAGCAGCAGGCAGAGGGCCCTTGTGGGACAAGCTGACCCTATGGGTTGTGGACAGCATCAGGACAAAGAGGACAGCAGTAAGGCAAGTTTCATTCTAGAACTTTCTCCCACAGAGGCCCCTTTGCTCAGGAAATTGGAAGTTACCATCCTCTCGTTTGCTGCCAACCTCTGACTCTAACTGTCCCCTAAAGGCCAGGCTGGCAGTCCCAGAGCCTTGCCTGACTGTGCAGGTGTCAGTGACTAAGTTTAAGGCTGTCCAGCCAGATGGATGGCTCCCTGGTTCTCCCCATGTTCCCTGCTCTGTTCCTGGGCCCAACCTGTTTTCAGCCCTTGGCCTCCTGTCCCTCTGTATCCCCACCCCTGTGTCCTCCTTTCCTCCTCCATGACCTGGCCACATCCTATTTCTCACCTCCAGATAGAGTCCTGCAGACTCCAGCATCTCTCCCCTGCCAGCAAGTCCTCGCCTGCCCCTCCACCTGGGAAGCCCTCACGCTCTCCAGCCTGATCTTTATCCTTTCAGGCTGGAAGAGGTTTTCCCTTGTCATGACTCTTTGGTTTCCGCCACTCTCCTTTTAAAAAGCACCCTTCCTCCCCAGGACCTCACCTCACCTGTCCTCCAGGTGTGACGGTCTTCTCCCTCAGAAGCATTTGAGCGAGTCGTCTGTCCGTCGCAGGCGTATGAGGACCGGTATACTAAATGACTGAGCTTGTCAGCCTCAGGGCCCAGGACAGTAACACGTGGTAGGACTTTATGCCCCATAAATGAACACATGCCCTGACGGCCACTCTGTGCCACACTCTGTGCCACACTCTGCTGGGTGCAACACGCGCCCCACAGCAGAGAGCCGGGGAAAGAGACAGCGGTGGCTGCTCAAGCTGCTTCAGGCACAAAGTGACAGATGTTTTGGTAGCCCTCCCCCACCCCCAAACTGATTTCTAAATCTCCTGAGACGGGCACAGAATGAAAGTGGCTGGTGGAGACAAGGATGAGGGTCACTGGTGCTCCCCATTCTTAGGAAAGGCGAGTGTCCCACTGATCTCAGGGAACACACAGACTGATGTTTGGATCCCAGAGCAACCCAAGGGGAATGTCAGAAATGGGCGAGCAGGCCATGGCCAGGCAAAGCCCTGACCACCGCCATTCTTCCTTCATCTGCACCGTACGCCCTGACTGAGGTGTTACCACAAGACCAAAAGCCTCCAGACCAATCTTCTCACATCTTCAACACCAGCTGTCTGCACCCTGCCCTTTCCCCACTGTATGTACCCAGAGGGCATCCAGAAGAGGCCAGGCACTGGGCACACAACTGCTGAGAAGATACCCAGACCCTGTGTGAGAAGCCAGCAGCAAGCGCCAGCATACAAACAGGCTGGGGACTCAGTTCTGCTCTAACCTAGGCAGCGCACCCACTCTGTGCCAGGCCTGTGAACCTGGCTCTGCAGGGGACACAGGAGGAGGACGTTCCACCCAGGCTTCCAGGGACCATGGCCCAGGAGGGAAGAGAGCACAGATGATGGGGCTGATGCTGATGAGGCAAAGAAGGAACCCACAGCAGGCAGAGGAGAGTTTGGCTTGAAGAATCAAGAAGGACAATGCCAAGAGGGGACAGGTGGGGAGGACTCGCCAGGTACAGGGGTGTGGGGGGGGGAGCAAAGGCCTGTGGTGCAAAGCAGTTGGGGTGTGCCCAGGCCAGTGCTTGGCTCACACATCAGGCCCATTCCACAGAATGCCTCCCCTCCTCAGACTCCAGAAGCAAAGGTTTTGGGTGAGTGCCCAAGGCAGGCCTGCCTCCCAGATCCCCCACTGGGACAGACAGAAGGGTGGACATTCACCCCAGATACACCCGTGGGCCAGCAGGAGAAAAGCCCAGGGCAGCACCTCAGACCCAACCAGGTGCTCTCCAAGTTCCAGAGAGCCCTGGACAGACGCACAGCCATGAGGAGCAGTTCTCACAGCTGGATCTGAGGTTACACCAGAGCCAACTCGGCCATGGTGGCTCCCATGGTGCCTCAGGATGCCCGTGCCACAGCCCTGCCCAGTGGACCGCAATGGGAATGAGAGTTCTTCGGTCCAACATCCGCCCACTGCAGGAAAGTCCTTTGAGGGGAACAGATCTGAGAAGACAGCACAAGCTACCCAGGGCCCCACTTCTGGGCTTTGCCCAGCTACCAACTGGCTGTAGGACTTTGGACAAGTAGCTGGCCATACTGTTCCTCCTGTTCCTTGGGTTCAGGATGGGGATCTCACTGAATCCTTCCAGTCTTAACATCTAGAAATCCACAAGGCCCGACTAGGCTGCCATCTCTGGGAGACCTTGAGCCTTTCCCAAGGAAAGAGGAAGACAGAACTAGGAAAAATGATCTTGCTCTCTGTATGCCGTATCTGGAGTACATAGCTCCCCCAACCCAAGCTGCAGCTTCCTGTATCTGCTCTAAGGTCCCGTCCCATGGCCAGGGGTTCCTATAATTCCCAAGGGCTCCATTAGGATACCCCACAGTCCATCAGAGACATTCCAAGCTGTCAGAGCTGACAGACAGAAGAAGGGTACAGGCTGAGGTGAGGCAGGGCACCCACCCCCCTCCCGCTGAGCTAGAGCAGGGCTGAGGGTTTACTCACACCACGTTCTACCACCTGGCATGGTAAAGCAATTGTTCATTGACTCATTAACAGGCTAAACAGGATCAGGGCCTTCCCCTTACACTGTTATGAAGGCACTGGGGAGAAGTAGCAAGTGGGGTCTCTTCTGAGAATCTGATTCACTTCCTTTTGATGACCATCACCAGAGACCATGGCAGACAGCCTCCCCAACCCACAGGAGCTGCTAACACCTAACACTAGGGCAGTATCCCTCAGTTTACGAAGGATTTTTATAACATCATTTCCCACACAGGTCACCTATCCATCATGGCTCCTGGGACCCAACCAAGACTAAGATAAGGCCCCAGACAGAGCCTGCAGAAAGCCGGGAAGACAACAGCAATGCTGGTTTAGCAACCTGCTGAGAAACAGCAGGAAAAAATAGGACTTGGGGTCAAAAGTACAAAAAGGGACACAGTGGGGGCTTTGAACTTCTCTGGGGCCACAAGGAATCCCAGAAATAATGTGGGCAAGGTGGGAGATCCTCCTGGCTGGTCAGCGTCTCCTCACCTGCACTGGTCCGGAGGGGCACTGGACATAGGGTTCTCTGTGGGAGCCCGTTAAGGCCCAAGCAGTTAGGCAGACCTTGCCAGACCATGGTCACCTGACCTGAGGACCTTGAAGGCTAGCTGTCACTAGGCAGGGGGCCCCACCAGAGAGTGCAAGGGGCACTAGGAAGAGAGCTCCCTAACCAGGTGGGCACATGCACTGTGCTATGATGGATGCCCAGCAGCGCCCTGGTCAAGTCCACCCTGGCAGCATGAGCAGCAGACACTGCTGATCCTAGTAGCTTATCTCCCATCCATATGGGTGGGGGGCCCACAGGGACACTGTTTCACACCACCCAGGTTTTGGCCCCCCACAACCCTGCACAGGCTGAGCCACTACTGATGTCCTTCAGACCCCACAAACTGCCCAGCCCCTGTGCCCGCCATCCATGACCTCGCCACTCCCTCCCTCTCTGCTCTCCCCCATATGCTGACCTAAATTCTTTGTCTGAGGCATGTGTGAGTACATGTGTGTATGTGTGTGGCCTGCCTAACCAATCTCTTCAGCAGAGAACGTACTACAGCCCATGGTGCAACAGTTGGTGGGCAGCTGAGAGGAATGAGAGGCTGAGCAGGAGCCCAGGCTGCACCTCCATGGCACCACATGTCCTCTGTCGTGGTACTGACTGGTGCTTATTTCACTGTCTAACCCTCAACAAGACCACAGAACCACAAATCCAAGACTGTGACATCCTCACCCATCAAGGTATACCCAGAAGATCATACCATATAACCTGTGGAGCATGAGTAGGTGGTGGGTGAGTGGGTGGGAGGGTGGGTGGATGGATGGATGGATGGGTAGGAGGGTGGATAGAAAGTTGGATGTTCAGACAAACAAATGAAACTCAGGGCCTTTGGAGTCAGATGTAGGTTTGAAATGGTATTCTACCACCAGTCAGCTATGTGATCTTAGATATATGATCTAACTGCTCTAAAAAAAAAAATACCAATATTTCACTGAGTAGGAATTCAATGTGACAGGAAGAGAAGGGTCTAGCATACTACCTGGCAATTAGCAGACAGCTGGTAAATTGGAACCATGACATTACTCATGCACCCCTGTGGTGTCTAGTACAATACTGTGCTGTAACAGGTGTTTGACACTTGCAAGGTGACTTCCTAAATGACTGAACAGACAGAGAGCAACCCCACCAGCTCCCCACTGCCTGTTGGGTCCCTGACCTAAAGGAGGACTGTCCTTGGCCCCCTGAATGGGCCTCACACGGGTCCTAAGACCACAGTGTTCCTCCAGACTCTCAGTGCACTCTGGCTCCAGTTCCAAGTGGCAGAACCCTCACCTGGACAGATGTGCAAGTGGTGATGACACTGGTCCCCAGGCTGGTGCTGTCACTCAGGTCATCTGGCAAAGAAGGAGTCTTCTCCACCCGAGGGGGCTGGGTGGCCTGGAATGAGGGGCTCTTGGGGGACACGTTCACATCTGTGCCATTGCCAAAGGCCTGGATGGCATTTCCTTGGGAATGGAGGGACAGACACATAGGCAGATCAGGACCTGCTTCCATGGCTTCTACCCCCTACCCTCCCTGACTGCCCTTCCCTGGGATGACCCAGACCCTGGGGACAGACGGTAGCACATTGCATCTACTTCAGAGCTGCAAAAGTTCACATCTAGAGGGGAAAGTGACTGGAGGAGGTAGGTAAAGACTTAAACCAGAACAGAATAAATGCACGTGACAAGGACTGTCTCAGAGGAAAAGAGAGAAAGAAGGAAGAGTGAAGGGTGATGGGCAGCAGGCTGGAGGCGGCAGGGTCATGCGAAGAGCAGCCGAGCCCGCAGTGCTGCAGACCCTCCTGGGAAAGCTTCGCCCATGCCCAGCTTCCTGAGCACAGGTTGTCCCACTCAGTTGCTGTCCTGAGTGCTTCCAGGTCCCCACTGTTGGCATCTCAAGGGCGCCAGACTAGCCGTGCTCCCTCTCCACACCATCAGCTTCCCTGGGGCAGCATCTCCAATACCATGCTGTCGGCTGGCACTAACTCACTGGAGGTCACCGTGACTATGCTCTGTCCCTAAGACTCGATCCTACAGAAAAACTTTCACCTGCATGTCCCAAAGGCACTTCACAATCCTCCTGTCTACACCTGGACCAGGCATCTCTCCCCACCACTGCCAACAATTCCTGCCCCCATGATGCTAATCCTGAAGATGTCATCTCTGTCTACCCAGGGCCCCCAAGAAAGAAACCCAGGGGCCAGGGAAGCACTGCCCCATGGTGCCTCCTACCCACTCACCAGCAGTTAATTAAGGCCACCTCCTCCTGAAGATCCCTGCACTCACTTGTCACCATTCCCCTCCCACTGTTCTGTTCACAGCCGTCATTGTCCTCTCCTGTGAACCTCACTGCAGCCTTCTTATGAGACTATTACGGAGCCTCTGATCAGAATCATACCCTCATTGCCAGGGACCTCCACAGCACAACCTGGCAGCCACCCCATACCCAATGCCACCTGCAGGACGCAAAACTCCAAAGCCTTCAGGTCTTCAAGAGGAGGACACCCGCTATCTGTCCAGATAACTGTCACTCCAGTCATCTGTAGCACTAGGTAGCAAGACCAAGTAGTTTGCATTTAGCAAACTCATCTTCTGCATATGCCTGGACCCTGCCAGGACAGACCAGAAGCTCCTGGTCCCTTCAACTGACCAACACCCAACTGTCTTCAAGGGATACAGCTTCTAAGAAGTCTGCAGGCCACCCTCTCCTGGTGGGTGTGGTGGCCCCACCCGAGTCCCTGAAGAATTCCATGCAGAACTCCACCCTCAGACTCTTCAACATGTACTGGGATCACAGGAAACCCTCAGCGTACCTCCACCAGGCTGCCTGTCCTCGATGCCAGGCCCTGGAACATCTACCTCCAAACCCCCAGCATCAAGCAGAAAGAAAGAAGATGGATGGACAGACAAGATGAAGGAGAAGAAAAGAAAGGAAAGGGGGAAGAGACCTGAAGACAGAGTGTCCAGCAAGGGGTGTCTAACTGCAAAGCTCACAGCAGACTGGACCTGACCATAGCTTCACTCTCTCCAGATTTTGGATGAGTCATTTAAAAGAAAGTCACAGATTCCAGGAAAAATACTTGTTGAAAGGAAAGGTGGCCGGTGTCTGAGAGCCTCATGGGAGGGCTCAGTCTCCAAAGGAACCTGGGTGAAGATGTCAGTAGAATAAAAACCTGCCAGGGGTGGTGACACATGCCTAGAATCTGAGCACTTGGGAGGCTGAGGCAGGAGGACTACTGTGATTTTGAAGCCAGCCTGGGCTACATGATGAGTTCCAGCCAAGAAGAACCATATAGCGAGACCTTGTCTCAAAAACAAGAATAACAAAAAACTTTGCCCTTGGCTTGACACAGGCTGAAGGACTCTGGTGATAAACTGAAGCAGGTCCACTGGCAGCCCTATTATGAATCTCCAAGTGCTCAAGACCTAGGGCCCCTGCAGATGGCACCCATGGTAGCCACCCAAAGGAAGGAGCAACGAACAGCGAGGCAGGCGAGTCCAGGTCCCCTCCCAGGTAGCAGGCAGGAAGCAGGGTGTCCTGGGCACCTGGGGGTGGGGAGAGCGCTCCCTGACTCACGGAGGCACGGGTTCTCGGTGAAGTCCCTCAGGAACTTCTCACACTCCTCCTCCATGTTCCCACTGCCACGACAACTGCACCAGGGTGACACCACAATGCTGGTGGGGCTGGAGTCCACATAGTTGGGGGTCATATCAAACCCTGGACAAGGAGAGAGGAAGTGAAAGGAGAGAGGAGCTGGAGGACCTTTCCTCTGAGCCCCCAGATGTCAGGCACAAGAGGATGGGGAGTCCCTCTGCCCCCAGTAGGCACATGCATGCAAGCACACACACACACACACACACACACACACACACACATACATGACACGCCTTGGCATCCTAACTGAACACTATTACCCCAGGGACCTCACAATCTGCAGGAACAAAGGGCCAAGGTTTCAAGGCCACCAGGCTCCTCACCACTGGGATGGCAAGGAAGACCCTACAGCCCTGCCTGTCCCAGACAGCATCCTTGCTTTTGCCCTCACCGCACGTAGACAGTGCTTGGCTCCAGAGTCAGGGAGGCGAAGATGCCCAGCCTGTGTCAGGTCCCAGAGCTGGCATCTACCAGCCGGCTCAGCCTGGGCAAGCTATTCCACTGCTCTACCCTCGTTTTCCCATCTGTAAAGTGGAGGTACATACACCTCTCTAGTAAGGCATGCACAGAGAACCCAGGAAGACATGACCTAGGATGTCAGAACTGTGCAACACATGTCTCCTTTTCTTACTTCCAGAGGATTAAAAGGCCTCTGGGGCCTTCTCCAACCCTCTTTCATAAAGAGCTGGCCCTCCTTTAGTCCCCCAGAAAGCTCTATCTGAATCTTCTGCATAGAAAACTGAGCTCAGCCTGACTCCCACCAGCTCTGAGCTGGACCATAGCACCTGCCCTGCGATGCTGGGACAGCAAGAGGTCTCAGCAAGCGCAGATGATGCCGGAGCTTACCGATCATGCCTGCGTAGGAGCCCAGGCATGCCTGGTAATTGTCGGCAGGGCAGGTGGTGAGTGTGCGGTAGGAGGCTCGACAGTTGGTGTGGAAGTCCGCCAGCCGGGACCTGTCGGGAGGAGAACACAGGAGATTAGGGTGGTGGCCTTCATGTCTCCTCTGCCCAGCCAGAGGCAGAGTGGCTCCCCACTGCTGCTCCCCCAGATGGGCTGAGGATGCTAGGAAGAGGGGCAAGAGACAATGGGGGACCAAATGTTGCGGTCCCTGAGCTGGGAACAAGCTGAAGACAGAAAAGCCCAGGGACAAATGACAAAAACAGCCACCAAGGGATAGCAACGCCATGCTCACAGTGGCTCTGTCCATGTGAGAAGGGCCCCAGCTGGGTGAGCAGAGGCCAGGGCCAGGGCAGGAAAGCTGGGCTCTGCTTTCTGCTGGGCCACACTGTTAGGTGATATCACCCAAGCTCTTTGACACATCGCTCTTCCCACTTGAGAAGTGGGTCCAATAATCCTCACCTCAGACACCTCATAGGATCTGTGAGGTTCAAAAAAGCCAGCCCCAGAGAAGAATCTCTTCAAAGCCACCGCCCAGGCACTCCTGCCTGGCTCTTGGGTATCACTCTGCCTACTTTCCACCACCTCCCCAGCCCCTGGGCAGCACCACCCTTGTCCTTCCCTGTGGACTGTAGCAGGCCACCACCGATTCCCCTAATGCTGCAGCTTATCCACTGTGCATGGCTCAGTGCTCCCTACTCAGCCAAGAGCTGCTTCAAGGCCACGCCTCTCCCCTGTCCCCAGCCCCAGAGCTGGGCAAAGGGCAAAGCATGTTACACAAGCACCAAACATCCAAGTCTAGCACTCACGATGGCCCGCATTCCTTCTTTCTGGCTGGGGCATAGACCTCTCTCACCCACCATGACAAGCAGTAATCACTGACTCCTACAAGTGAGCATCTTTGGCTTGTGGCCTCTGTGTCACATCCACTAAGTCTCATGCAGCTCTGAGGACTGGTGACAAGGACTTGTTCATTGCCCCAATAGCGATCGCAGAGCAGGACCTCAGAAGCCACTGTCAGCCAGGAACACTAGGAGCACCAGGTCATCTGGCTCCTCAAACAGGCTCTCGCCACACAAGTAACCACACCAAGCAGCCCTCAAGTCCAACCCAAATTCAGCTCCTATGGGTCTCCGCTGAAACTGTGGCCCATTTGAAAAAGGCACATGTGGAGAGACAGGGACAAGAGGCTGAGAGACACTGAGCTGGCTTGGGTGAGGAGAGAGCCCAGGTTTCCTGGGAGGGTCTGGGTGCCCATCGTGTGAGCCCCAGGGCACCTGGAGAAGTCTGTCCACTTCCAGACAAACTCTATTTTGCCTGGATGCCCCACCATGCTGGAAGACAGTGTGGGAGGTGGGCCACTTCTGCAGACATCTGACCCCTCTGAGGCCTCATGCAGGTGCCTCAAGCCCTGCAGCTGATGGAAGGTCACAGAATCCAGGAACAGGCGCTCTCAGCTTGGCCCTCTCACTGCTGACCATGGGCTTGCCCCTTGCTGCTCAAGCCCTTGTGCTCCTTTTTATCAAATGAATAAAAAGGACTCTGGGTTTATCACTTCAATGGCAGCTTCCTACTTTGAGAAGGTGAAAAACTCCTAAAGGAGAATGGCGAGAAGGGCCGCCAACACCACCACTGCGTCACACATCTTAAAATGGTTAACATGGTAAGGTTTGCATTGTTTTGCCACCGTGATTTCTTTTAAGATGGTGCCTTCCTAGCCAACTTCACCATTCACCCCTCACAAAAATCTGGTGTCAGACATGCAATTATGATCCCATTTGACACATGAAAAAAACTAAGCCTCTCAAGACTCAAACTCAGAACTGCAGCAGCAGGCGGATTCTTGGCAGGCCCCAAGCTCATGTCTGGAAATGAGGGTCCTGGGCCTTGGAGGACACTTTCAGAGTCCTCCCTCTGCCCCTGTGTGAATGCAATGTCACCTTCCACAGAAAAGGAGCAGGAAATGTGCAGTCACCCCTGCCCTCCTCCCACCCTCTGTGTCCTCACTGCCCAGCCCCGAAACAAGAGCAGCGCTTCCAGCCACATCCCTGCCTCCTCAGGACAAGACTTGCCCTTGACCCTCAAATCCAGTGTCTGTCCCACTCTACAGGGGGACAACTGGGAGAAGGTAGGGTAGAAGGGCAGGTGGCCTCTGCCCGTGTCCTCAGCCTTTGGAGACCTAACAGCTAGGCTGGGAGGGGGCGGGGGCTGATGGCATTTGGAGACAAAGCAAAATCTGTCCTGAGATGAACCAAGCCCATCCAAAAGAATCCTGAAGCCTCTGAAACCTGGGGAGCTGTGACTATGGCCTTGTCACAAATAAGGTCCCTGAAGATATAATCAAGTTAAGATGAAGTCGGTAGATTAGAGGGCCCTATGTCCAGTGGCCGGTGTCCTCCTGAGAGAAGAGACACAGACACACAGAGAATGCTTTATGTTAATAGATAGAGGCAGAAAACAGACAGATACATCCACAAGCCAGATAACACCAAGGACTGCCAAGCTCACAGAAGCTGCGAGAGAGAGAGGCATGAAACAGATTCTCCGTTTGAGCTTTGGAGACAGCACGGCCCTGCCTTGATTTTAGCATTCTGGCCTCCAGAGCTATGAGAGGAGATTTCTGTTTCAAGCCGCCCAGCTTCTGGTACTTTCTTACAGAAGCCACAGGAAACAACAGCAACACTTTTGAAGATAGCACTGCTTGGTTGTGCCCATGGAGAGTGTGATCAGGCGCCATTACTGAGCAGGGCTGCAGGCGAGTGAGGCAAAGCCTGGACGCAGCTCCTGCAGGGTGCAGCTCCTGCAGACAGGGATGAGATGGGCCCTATCCAGCCGCACTTGCTCCTGCTACGTGACTGACAGATGGAAGGTGGGAACAGCATAGACGTAGACACGGTGTCAGAAGGGAAGGCTCCCACCTCGGAGCTGTGGGTGGGACCTAGAGTAACCTCAGCACAGGCAGAATGGGCACTACATTCCTCCCAGGCTCTCTCACACACGCTGTCTGATTAGCTCTTTATCACAGCAGCCCTGTGTGCAGATAGGCAGATGCAACCCTCCCATTTGTGAACTGGTACAGTAGTTAGCTTTCTCATCACTAGGACATGATACGTGACAAATACACAAGTCAAAAGGGATGTAGTCCACAATCAGCTGGCTCTACGTGGCAGGACTGTCACAGCGGAAGGGTGTGGTGAAGCAGAGCTGCTTGGTTCCTGGTGGCTGGGAGACAGAGGCAGGGAATGGTACCAGAGAGACAGGTACCAGATATAGTTCCCAGGGGACCCAGACACACCCAGAAGTGGGCTTTCATCTTTAATCTCTTGAGTGGCTCGCAGGCCAATCAAGTTGACAGCCCACCTTTCTTGTGACAGTAGAGGACACTGAGCACTACAGGTAGCACAGCCACCCAGAGCCACACAGCTGCAGCAGGAACTGAGCGCGACCCCGTGACAGATGCTCTATCCTCTCCACCTCTGGCCACTCACCAAGGAGCCCCTCTGGTCAGCCCTTTGGATCTGGGCTCTGTCCTCGGCTTGTTTCCTGTGCTCCTGCCTCTCCTCCTGATGCCTGGCTTCTCTGGGACCCATAGGGGACATATTCCGGATTCCCTAAAGGGCTGTTGCCACCTTCTCCCTGCACATGACCTCTTCCATCTGTAGCCTGTGCAGCTGGTGACATTTTGAGAGATCCTTTGAACGGTGGGCCAGCCAAAATCCTCTAGCTCTTGAGTGCAGAGCCAGAGGGGTGCAAGGTGCCCTGTGCCTCTGGGGGTTGGGGCCGTTTGGCAAGCCCCCAACACATGAAGGCTGAGCTAGGCCCTGCTGTGGCAGACAATACTGTCCCGCAGGAGTAAGCCAACAGCGACTCCTTGCCTGCGGCTTGGAGCAAGGGCCCTGGAAGCCAGGCAATGCACACGAAGCCCCTTCTCTGGACTGCAGGTGACCCCCAGGCAACAGCACGGTCTCACAGCTGCACAGTGCCTACTTCCTTCCCAGCAGGCCTGAGAGTGATGCTGAGTGAAGGGAGACGGCCATGGGCTTAGAGCAGCACACAGTAAGGGGAGGGCAAAAGCAAGGCAGGCGAGTGGCTAGGCCTTCTGTTCATCCATTTCACCATCCTCAGCACCAAGGCGTCTTGGCAGGCGAGAGTAACAAATGGAGCCATTTAGGAGGTTGCTATGGCCAGGGCTCCAGGAGGCCTTTGATTGCTCAAGCTTCTCTCCGCCTCTCAAAGTGCAGTGAAGTCCACAGTAGCAGGCTCTCTCCGTCAGCATCAGAGACCAAGTGGTGTCAATTTCCTTTAAGGCCTTGACACATTCCAACTCCAACCACAATGGGAACTGGCTGCACAAATGCTCCAGCCCATTCCTGGTGGGCACCATTCTCCAAGGCAAATGTTACCCTTTCATAATCTGTGGCCAGCCGGCTGGTACGCCTGCGCCGTCTCTTGGCCAGATGTCACTCTTTCCCCCTACATCAGGAGGCCACTGGTCTGCTGGACTCCACTTCTGCAGCCAAGAGCAAACCTTTCCTGGATCAGCCCCATCACTTTGCAGACTTCCGCCTTTAAAACCCCAGAACAGAAGCAACTTCAAGGAAGCATAAGAGGGAGAGATCGGTGAACAAATAACCAGAGAGAGGAAAGGTGGAAAGCCAGCACGAGAACCAAACGGTGCCCAGCCAAGTGCCTCCCCACCGGGATGGAGACGAGGCTGCCAAGGGAGCCCAGGGCAGCGCGGCTTCAGTCCAAGGAGCACAAGCCCTCTTGGGCCCGTTGTCCCAGCAGCTGCAGCCCATTCAATCACAGAAAAGCAGCAGCAGGCGAGAGAAAAACATCTGACCCCCAATTTAATGAAAAGGTTACCATATTAAAGGCAGAAGGTCCAGCTAGTTGGAATTCTAAATAAATGATGAATTTTAATAGTTCATCTGGGCCATATTTAAACTAAGCCATTTTCTGGATCTTGTATTCAAACTTCACTAGGCCTCTGACATTGTGATTTTCTTTTAAGCTCTGCCAACCCTATTTGATGAGCACAGGTGTCCTCAGCCAG